ACAAGGTTTGCCAAATTGCAATCCATATTTGATTGATTTCTGAAGTTGCATTGCAATTTTGGGACAAGGAATATGGCTGTTTTTCTGTTTTTGTCTGCTTTGTGCACTCAAGACATACACTCTTTCTTTTTCAGGAATCCTACTATTACCTGAGATCATTTATGGGACTAAGGTAATTTTAGATGATTGTTGGATCTCTTTAATAAAAGATTTTTGTTCACGCAGAAGGATCAGTTATAAGAATATGATGATATTGTCCATATTCAGCACATGAAATAGACTTTATTGTCTTAGAATTTCAAGGAAGTGTAATATGTTGACTGACTCCATCTATATCATTTTGTTTAACCATAAAGCCACCAGATATGGTAATTATCGACATGCCATGCCCACTGTGAGTTTAGCTTTACCTATAGATGGCTCCACAGTTACTTAGTCTCAAAGGAGTCAATTACAAGCACCACACAACCTCACCCGTTTACTCTTTTCCTTGAAGTCTCAAAGGAGTCAATTACAAGCACCACATACCTCACCTGTTTACTCTTTTCCTTGATTTCTGGAAATATTCTCCTCTGCCTTGTGTTGCTATTAGTAATGTTGATAATATATGATGATTATGATGTCTAGAATAAGAATACGATCATCAATAGTGATGGCATTAGTAGAAAAAAAAAATCTTGAAAACTCAAGGAAAGGGAAATCAAGTTAGGTCACAAAGACTATTCATTGAAACCTTTGATGGCCGAGTATTTGTGGAGAGACATTTCAGAAAAGAAAACTAAATTGAATATTATCTTTTTTCCTGTGGCATGGGAAATGTATCAGCCTATTTTTGGCCTAGGGGATTTGGCTCGGAAGAAATAAAGAAAAGAGTTAGAGCTCAAAATATTTCTTACACTTCAACTGTTTTATGAAAGTTTTTAGAACAGTATCTAGAAAAATTCACCTATGTCCTTTAAAATTTTAATTTTTTACAATATCTCTTCCCTCTGTGCAGTCATATACTGTATATATGGATGTATGCACAGTAAATGTACCTGTATGAGTCTTTGTAAGTGTATTGGTATACAAAAACACATAATGTACACTAATCTTTTGTGACATATAATATGTTTTTGGACATGCTCTTATTCATTTTATTTATTGCATTAATTTGGTGTTATGTAGCCTAGTTGGGAATGACTGTTGCTTTGTAGCTGTTAGTGAATGCAGTTGGTATCTTACACGTAGTGCAGATAATGGATCATTTACTGTAGTGAATGGAGATTTGATGATTATTGCTTGCACATTTTTTATAAGTCTTATATATTTGTGTATTCTATCTTTTCTTTTCTCTCTCTCTCTCTCTCTCTCTCTCTCTCTCTCTCTCTCTCTCTCTCTCTCTCTCTCTCTCTCTCTCTCTCTCTCTCTCTCTCTCTCTCTCCCCCTCTCTTTCTCTCTTTTGCCCTTTTTCTTTCTCCTTTTTCTTTTTCTCTCTCTTTCTCTCTTTTTTGCTTTCTCTTTCTCCCTTATCTTTTTCTTTCTCCCTTTTTCTCTTTCTCTTTCTCTCTTTTTCTCTTTCTCTTTTTCTCTTTCTCTTTCTCTCTTTTTCTCTTTCTCTTTCTCTTTCTCCCTTTTTCTCTTTATCTTTCTCTCTTTTTCTCTTTCCTTTTCTCCCTTTTTCTCTTTCTCTATCACCCTTTTTCCATTTCTCTTTCTCTTTCTCCCTTTTTCTCTCTCTTTCTCTTTCTCTTTCTCTCTCTCTCTCTCTCTCTCTCTCTCTCTCTCTCTCTCTCTCTCTCTCTCTCTCTCTCTCTCTCTCTCTCTCTCTCTCTCTCTCTCTCTCTCTTTCTCTCTCTTTCTCTCTCTCTCTCTCTCTCTCTCTCTCTCTCTCTCTCTCTCTCTCTCTCTCTCTCTCTCTCTCTCTCTCTCTCTCTCTCTCTCTCTCTCTCTCTCTCTCTCTCTCTCTGTCTCTCTCTCTCTCTCTCTGTCTCTCTCTCTCTCTCTCTGTCTCACCCTGTCTCTCTTTCTTTCTTTCTTTCTTTCTCTCTCCCCCCTCTCCACCTTTCTCTTCCTCCATCTTTTCCTCCCCTCCTTCCTTTATCCTGTTATACATATTCTGTTTCTTCTGGAAAGACAAATCAACCTTGAACTGATGGTTTCTGTTCTTTTATGGGCTCTGCTGCCTGTCTTTTGAAAAGTGATGTTGATATTATTGTATTGTTATTGTATTGCTCCTCTTTTTTTCAGAAGTCTGAGTGACCTGCACTTGTAAGGAACAAGGAAAGCTAAATACAGACTGTACCATCCGCTCTACAATCTCCAGATAGTTGCTTCTAGCTTTTAGAAGAGCTTTTGCCAAAGTGTTTGCAAAATTTGTCAGATTTATTCCAAACTTGTGCCTTTTTTGGTAATGTAATGCCATACGTGATGTTGTTATATTTGAAATGTTAAAAGCTTGATAGGCAAGAGAATTATTGTAAATTTTAGCTTTTGATATTTAGTTAAGTTATCCAGAGATTCTTGAGGTATCTCCATGTCCATTAGGATCATACTATTTTGCTTTTGTAATCTCATTTAGTAAATTAATCAAACTTAATGTTACTATTAAGGTAAAAGGTTGTAAATCAAATATATATATATATATTTATATTCCATTTCTTATTGGATCTGGGTCTGAACTTCATATTTGTTTTTCTTTTCTTCCATATGTAGATAATAATACTTATATAATGATAGGTAATCATTGATTCACAGAAATGGTGCTATTAGTATGGTCTCTCACAACTGCAGGTAGTGTTTTTTGTGATGACAGCTTTAATTAGTTATCCCTTCTATCAGGACAGTAGAAATGTTGGAATAACATTTTTTTTTTCTTTACATTTACTTTGATGATTCTCATTCTTATTCTTTGCATTAAAGTCGAAGGGATGGCTATGGTGGAGTTAATGGTCTTAATACAAGTTATTTTACTTATGAATGAGGGAAGGACTGTGAAATGTACTTGAAGTTTGTGTTGTGGGATTGGAAGATAAAAAATTGAACAAGAGTTACCTTTGTAATATTATAATAACACACATGTCAAGTGCAGACTCTAATTCACTAGGGAACTTTTGGTAGTTGAAATGTAATTTTCCAGTCCATTTCTTTCCTTACCTTTTTTTTTAAATAACAGTTGTACTTTGCTAAATCATATTGCTTTATATAGACATTTTCAAATTAGAATGATGATCCATCAGTGTCTCAGCTTGCTTTATATAAAGAGATTGTCATTCTTCACACTTTGATAAATTAGGATAGTTGTTTGATCTACAGGGATCTTAGAAATGTTCATTTTTTAAAGGTTGGAGGTTAAACCTAACAAGGTAGTCAAGTGAAATTTATTGGATGGATGTAGTAGTGCTTTTCAAAAGTATTTCTTACTATTTAGAATAGTAAGTCAGCCAGGAGCTGTTTTTAAGAAGGGTTTTATAAGGAGAAATGTGATTTACTTTTAGATGTTCTTGTAAATTTCACTTAAACCTAAGGCCTACCTGGGTAGAAATCCCAGTAAAAAAAAAGAAGTATTTGATTTTACAGAACTTCATCATCTTTGCAAGTTTCAGGCAATTAGGGCTGTAAAGATATAACTGCATTTTCATGTGGCAGTGTGCAAATTTTATGACGCTTGTTGCACACTACAATCTGTAACATAGGCGTTATGTATAGCATGTTTATACCTCCTTTTATTATTTACAAGCATCCTCTCTTAACTCTTGCATCTCATATTTATTGCACTTCTTCATGACATCTGGTTTTTCACCTCTCTTTTTATTTTGTTTTATCTTTCTGCAGCATCTTTTTTACTTTTCCTATTAGGTGTGTAATATCATTTAAAAGTTGAAGTAAAGAGGTTCATCATTTTTTTAGCTATACATTGATTCCTCATAATGTATCTGTGTCCAAAGATCTTTTCTAGGTATTTTCTGTTCTGACTCGTTAAAAATAGAATGGCACTTGTATCTGGATACTGTTTCACATATTTTCAGTGGATGGAGGATTAACTGAATGCTCTCTTTTAACATTAATAGGATTCATCTTCCTCTTGCTTACAGCATAGAGACATACAATTTCAAGTAAAATGATTCTCTGACATGTTCAACTTTTTATTAGTGTTCCTCATGTTTTCTGCGCTTCATTTTTTTTTTTTTTTTTTTTTTTTTTTTCTTCTCTGCTGTGATTTTTTGTGCTCTTGGAATATTGAAATTGAATTTTAATATTTGCACAAGGTTTGCAGGTAGAACAACTTAAATGAAACATGTTAATTGGTAGATGTTACCTGCATTGTAAATTATGGTCCACTGTTATAAAGGGAACATTTTCTGTTTGTAAAAGATAATTAATGAAATTCCTTTTTACTACTTAAGAAGTTTTTTGTTTTGGTTTCTTGCTATCCCTTAATACTAATCAGTGACCTAATAACCAGTGATTTTTTTATGTCCATAGTAAAGTATAAAATTAAACTTTTGCATGTATTACTTCCCTCTCTTTTTATGCAATTGTGAGGTATATTTATTTTTGCCCAAATTATTTTTTATTATTTTTTAAATTACAACCCCTGAACTGTTTTATCAAAGATACTTGATGCACAGTATTTTACAAAGTAATTTTATAGGCTGCTTGAGGACTGAGGCTAATGCTTTTAAAAAATTATTCATTTTATAAACTTCCTAGTATGAGCCGTGTAATATCACAAATTAAAGAAGAGGTTAAGTGTGTTGTTATATTCCATGTATTAAAAGAAATCTAACCATCTCTGGTGTGTGCAGTTTTGATAATTACTTGTAACTGCCTATATCACAAATTTTATGCAAGAGTCTGCAACCTTTGCTGTAGTGAGGGAAACGTTTCAGTGATTAAAGAAGGAAATTAGGGAATTGATAGTAGTTTCTTTGTGTTTGAAACAGAGCATCCAAACCTGGCTGTTTATTTTTATTTTTGTCAGTTAATGACACTAGGGGAAACTGTAAATATTAACAGGATAACAATACAGTCTTTATTTTCACACTATCACCATCATCATCCACAGATCCTGAGCAGTTAGCACTGTTTAAACACCACAACATAAAAATATAAAGGAATATAAAACTATAAAATATTAATCAATCTATGAACTTTATACAATCTGTTTTTGGAAACAAACTTTGGGTACAAAGCAAAAAATCAGTTACTCAAATTTTACTTTTCATAAAGAATCAAATTTGATTAGAAGAAGGGAAATATATTATGATTTAATTTGAGAGATTTTCTGTTTTGTTTTTGGTAATCCAGATCAGTTGCTCCATGGCCCATGCTGGAGTTTTGAATCCCAAAGGATATCCCACCTCCCTGGTTTGTACATAGTTTTCCAAGCTGAAGTAACAACCGGTGCTACTTACCACGGTGCCACTTGCAATGCTTGGTAGATCACCACCCATGAAGTCTCATTTCGAGCCATTGGGTGGTTGTTCCCTGACTGATGACGTTCAGCCAATAGGATGGTCAGCACAGTTGCACTCAGGCCCTCCAACGCCCTCTTCGCAGGCTTCCTTGCAGAATTCGTCA